GGTATGAAACCGTTTTTTCCTAGAAGCTGTTAAGAGTGTATTATTGTCATACCTCGTGCACCGACAATCACTCACTCGCCTTCGGGTGTTATATGTAAACCACTCTCCATTCTCTTCGGCCTCGAGTGTTACTAAAATGAGAAAGTAAAGGAACTTAAGGCTCTAACTTTAATCCAGAAGTATGAACCCTTCAAAATGAGAGAGGATGAAATGATTGAGAAGATGCTCTTAAGATTTCAAACTCTTGTGGCTGGATTAGAAGTTCTAAAAAAGGGTTGCACTACTTCAGATCACGTAAAGAAAATCATCAAAAGTTTGCCCAAGAAATGAAGGCTAATGGTGACTAAACTCAAGGTGTCAAAGGATTTGAACATTACAACTCTGGAAGAGCTTGTGAGCTCTCTAAGGAGTCATGAGATAAAGCTATAAGAGGGTGAGCCTCAAAGGATAGTTAAGATTGTGGCTCTGAAGGTTAAAGATCTTCAAGCTGAAGAAGAAAATTCTGAAGATGACTCTAAAGAAGAACGAGTTTATATGGGACTTAAGATAAACACTTATGGATCAAAATCAGATTTAGAATAAGATTCAGACTCTGACGAGGTATTTTCTCATCTCTCTCATTTTGAATTAGAATTATCCTTAGCTGAGATTCCTGAAAAAGAGTCAGAACCTTCAACAAAGATACAAGAATCTGAAACAGAATCATTTAGTTGATTTTGGAGCCCATGGTGAACTACTGAAAGAAAAGTCTATTTTAAAAGAAAGATTCACTAGTTTATTAAAGAAGACTTTGCCCTAAAAACCAAGAGTAAAAAGATATCCTTTTAGAAGCTCCTATGGATTTTAAATGTGCTTCTAAAAGATATGAAGCTTCTTTTAAAAATTTCTATCTAAGAACATAGATAGAAGCAGAATGACTTTAATAACCTATGAAGTTAGTGACATCAGAAAAAGAGGCATTGGTTATCTTAAGCCAAATAAATCCATGTTCAAGCCTAAGTCTAAAGAGAATGTCATAAATTCAAAAGCTTTATATTCTCATGTCACCTCAAAACACAATGTTTATTCTACACATAAACCATGGGTTGATAAAACCTCTAGAAGAACTAACCACAAAGGACCCAAAAGTATATGGGTGTCAAAAGATAAAATAGTTTACGTTGCAGATATCCTAAGCAGCAAAGTTGAGACACCAATCCTGGTACCTGGACCATGGATGCTCTCAACACATGGAGGGAAGAAGGCACATGTTCCAAAATTTGTAACTTAAGCCAATGGCTTTGTAGTCTCTAAAGAAGATCAGAATGGGTAAAATTATTAGTTTAAGGACTATTGGTAATGATTTCCTCCCCCCCACGTCTGATGTATGCGTTTTATGCTTAACACTAACAAGTTTGATTCTAAAGCTCAAATATATCATGTTAAAATACTTTAAATCCTCAAAAGGCTATATAGTATACAACACTGAAACTAACATTGTTGAGGAATTAATTCATGTTGAGTCTGGTGATAAGCTTGACTATGTAAAGTCAATCCTAGTTAAAAATTTACAGATATGAAGATTAGCTACTTTGACTCTGAGGATATAACTTCTGGAAGTACTCAAGAAGAAACCAAACAATCATAACTAGAAGTTGTTGAACCTCAGAACCTTTAAGGAGTTTAAAGCCAAAAATATCTCTTTCTGAAGATCTGATTTTGGGTGAAAAGATAGAACCTGTCAAGACCTGTCAAAATCAGATCATCATTCAGACGAAATGAAAAGACGCTTCTGGAATTGGTTTCTATCATAGAACTAACATTCTATGATGAAGCTCAGAATCACCAAATTGGAATTCTGGAGAAGGATGAGGTAAGCATAGAAGTATGTCAGATTGTCTAGGTCAGAATCCCTCTGAAAATCTCTGTCTTCTGGACTCTGAATGATATTAATGGTTTAATTCATGCACTTTCATCATGGCTAAGAACTATATTGACATGTGTCTAACTAATTCTTATAGTAGTAAAACTCTTGAATAAACCTTGAGAATTTTTTTTGGTAAAACAAAAATTATGTTATGGCACCTCCTAGTTTGATTTTGTCGTCTTTTTCAAAAGTCAATTTTTATTCTTTTTTATTGATGATAAAAGAGGAGAAATAAAATGATTTTGATTCATTTTTATTCCAAGAATTAAATCCCAAACATGTTATAATTAATGGATTTATCATATGACTATTAGTACTGATTTAATAATCAGAATTATTCTAAGTCTTAATCTCAAGGGGGCTTGTGAACCTAAGCAAAGAAAAATTTGAAGTCTAAAATTTAAGGGGAGTTTACAAATCTAACTCAGATTTTTAACTGATTATTTGTCTTGTTAAGTCAAAATTGTTCATCAAAATTATAATGTTTGTCATCATCAAAAGGGGGGATTGTTGGAACATGTTTGATTCTACATCTATTATCCTTGAGTTTTGATGATAATAAAGTGTAAAAGAACAATTTTGTACTGTGATAGTTGGTTGAGTATGCAAAATCTGAATAAACTAAGAGCTCAGTAATGCAGAATATGATCAAGTTAGAAGCTAAGTACATAAGAATTTGAATAAGGTAGATCCTGAATAGAGCAGACTATGAACAAGTCAGACGATGATCAAAAGCTAAGTAGACCTGACTCTTTATATAGAGACTCTGGACAAAGAAGAGACACTGGATAGAGAAAGACTCTAAAATCTGGTTTAAGAGATTTTGGATATCATTTGGTTCTGAACCCAAGAAAGAATATGAAGAAGTTCTAAGCTTATAGTCAACTCTAAATTCACCAGTCAACACTTCTGAAGTTATCAACTCAGATGTACCCTGATTCATTCAAGCCTCATTTTTCAACCATACTCTGAAGTCTTTTTCTCAAGACTCTGAACTCTGAACACACTTTAAATCTCTCATATATGCAACCAATGTTTTGGAGAAAAATAAAGAATGAATATTATGAGTGAACAGTACAAGTTAAAACTGCAAAATCAAAAGGAATGTACTGCAAACGGTTATAAAAGATTTTTTGAGCGCCACCCTTGATTTACTGTTGAGCCTACCTACTCTACAACTACATTGTACCTCGAAGGAAGCTCTAATCCTATCCTCCAGCAGATCAATTTCTTCCTATTTATAGAGGTAAAAGAATTTGTAAATCAAGAGAGCCAATAATGTTGTGAAGAGAAAAAGAAACTCTATGCTGGAAGAATGCTAATGAAGAAAATCAACATCAAGAAAAAAACAGAGAGAAACACTAAGAGCTTCATTTCAAATATTGTTAAGAAGCACCCTTGTAAACACAAAATTTGTTATATTAACTTTGGTTAATTTCCTTGAGAGACTAAGTTTAGTCAGAACTCTCAAGAAGTAATTGACGGTTAATTTTTGAGTTGTAATTTCTTAAGAGACTAAGGTATAGTTAGAATTCTCAAGAATTCTTAAACAGTTAGTCTTTGAGTTATATAATCAGATTGATTATTAGATTAAGTCTTTTTTAAAAGCGAAATCCCTCAGACGGGTGGACTGGACGTAGCTTCATTAACAGCGAAACAGGATAAAAAATACTTGTGTTCTTATCTTTATCTTTGTTGGCTGATATATTGGATGACAAAAAATTTTAAAGCCAACAACTCAATTCAAATCTCCATTTCTTATGTTTCTTGCACCTTCATTAGAGTGTTACACCCAGTAGCATTGTTTACATAAATAGAAAACAAACATTAGGAACGAGATCAATAGCAGCAAGTTGATCAAAATGGACTTCGGGGAGGGGGGGGGAGGGGGGGTGGCGTGACATGTGCCTCCTGGAAGATGATGTCAGAGACACTTAAACGCGAGAAGACAGTCCTTCTGTATCAAATAAATTAGTACCAACTGGTGGTTACGAGGGTTTACCTCTCTCCTTGCAAACAGAGACATGATAGACCACTCTACAGTGCCTCAATCTATCTTACTTGTCATCCATTTTATATATAATTAAACTAAAAAATACAAAACTCCAAAATGCCATATGCTTTAAATATTAAAAAAATATTTATGTATGCCTCAATAAACTACATATTATGAGTGTAGCTCCAACCTAATGTACCTTAAACAACTTATTTAAATAATGCAAACATCTCAAATAAAAAATGAATGAAATAAAAAAAAAACTTATCAAATGTGAAAAGTGAAAGCTATTGGTTTGAATGAATTGGAATAGAGATTGAGTGATATCTTAGGATTAAATGCAATACAGTAGAAGTTGTGAGAAATGTTGAAAAATAATGGAAATGAGGTTTGTTCACTAGCTCTTTTTTTTTTTGTTACGAATAAGTTTTTAAAGTGAAGAAAAAATGGAAGATGGTATGGTGCGAAATATATTTTTGTAGGTTTTTACAAATATACACTTCCAAACTATTTTATGGCAAAATAAAGGTAACATACTAACTAAGTATTGTGGTGTAGACTTTTAACTGTGTTCAAAAGTGTAGTTTTAAATTTGAAGAATATTTATGACTTTTTTCGGAAGATGTATCGAACAATCCCCCAAGTTTTCTTCCTTCCAATATATGTAGGCCTTAGCAATGTCTTTCTTTAAGGTACCTAGCAATGTTTAGCTACGTCATATCAATAAAATCCACCAAAGTAAATTCGGCTTTCTTCATTCATTTTTTCACAAGCTTTTCACTTAGTTTTAAGGGACATTCATACTTTTTCAGTTCTGTGCTCATGTGAGCCAACACTTATTTGTACTTTATGAGAGATCTTTATCAAGATACGATAATAGACATTTTCAACTAAATGAAAAATCATGAATAATCTATATTTCAACACTTCAAACCTGAGCAAAACTTTTTATAACATGGTAACAACAAATAACAGTAACAGAATGGAAAAGCCACAAAACAAGCAGAAAAATGACTCAAAATTGGGATAATCAAAACAGATAGAATATTGAAAAGGGTAGATATACTAGCAAACAAATCTCATCTTCTACACCAAACTTCATCCACTCAAACTCTTAACAATCTCCGCGAGCGCTGAGTACGTTCCAATCGACGAACACACAACACCTACTATAATAACCGAAATGCAAAGTCCTGACTGTAAACATACAAAATGAAAGTTGAGTCACACTATAGTTCATCATAACTATATAACTAGTTTTTAGAGTTAGTTCGAGCTATACCTGTAATCGCGTGACTTTGCCTCGCAAGATTCTTAGGTAGCAAACACATGGTAGTATCAAAGTCTGTCAAAAAGGTTGATACTAATCAGTAAAATGATGCGATCAATAGCGCTATTACCAATAACAGAAAAAATTAAGAAATCTTACTACAAGCATTGTAAGTAAGGATCCAATCAACGACATTACCAAACCTGCAACGAATCATCAGACGCGTCATTTTTATAACATATTACAACTATGTCACATTACAGTTGCTACTATTGATTAAGACTTACCGAAAAAGGGAACCGAGAGACCAATAACAAGGGTGGAAAATACAAGGCCTGTTCTGATGAAAATGGAAAACAGGTAAGACTTGGAATGGTTTGATGGGATCAACTCTTCAAGACTCATCGCCACCGGAGATATAGTCAATGCATACGTATCGATGCTAGTTAAGAAAAATGATATTTCATCGTCTGCTATGTAAGAATACTCTATGAAGAGAATGAAAATGAAACAAATTGTATTCACACGGCGCAGATAAAGGATATTTGGTAAATGGATTAACCACCTGCAAAATAAACGTAGCAGAAAATAATGTTAGATATATACGGTTTATAAGACATCTGAATCGATCTCTCTCCGTAAATAATACGTAATTTCTGAAGTTAATTCTACTGAGAAAATATCAGCAATAGAATGTAGAATTGGTATACCGTAGTCCAGACAGCAATCTTGGTTGCAACCAAATCTTGTGGCAGGTTAAGAGTGAATTGAGAGAGTGTATCTTCTCCAAACATTCGGTATCCCATAACAGCGCCTCCAGCATACAGTAAGCTACAAACTCCGAAACTACGATAAAAGAAAATCATACATTGTCTTAGATAGATTTAAAATGAGAATTATAAACCATGGCTAAAGATGATCTTTGGTTTACCATGCTACTAGTACTGCAGGGAATTGGTTTCGATTTGCCATGGATGTGTAAATGTTTGGGAACACAGCATGTCCAGAATAACAGTAGCCATAAAGACCGATAGCAACAGGTAGAGTTGCAAGATTGAGCGTTGTCCCTGAGCGTTGAAAGCCAACGTCTTCAACCCCGACCCATAACAAGCACAGAACTACTAAAACGGATGCAATAACTCCACCAGCTATCACAGAATCGGAAATAAATGGTTATAATAAGCTTGAATATTATCCAAAAATTAAGTTATTGTTTGCACAAAATAAGTGTTACCTGAAATGTAACTAAGAATGCTAAGGTCGCGGAGCCAAACGGTAGGAAGAACAGCCAAGGTGGCAATCACAGCAAAGAGTGTTTTCGGATTCAACTCAATTACACCTAAATTTAAGTATGCGTTTGGAAACAACGAAGCCAAGTTGTCGCCTTCCAAAATTATATACTCAATGCAACAGCCCTGCATGACAAGATAGTGTTTAAGAACAAAACTTATGATCCAAGGTATGTGAAAAATTAGTCAGTTCCGAATTTTACACCTCGAAATTCAAGACTGAAAATAAAAAAAGGTAAATATCATGAATCACATCTATCTATCTAGGACTAATTGAGCGAAGGAAGATGTACTTACATATAACTCCACGTATAATACTATCTGCAACCACAAAATCATAGGAAATTGAGATTAGACACACTGCAACCACAAAATAGATACAAGAAAAGAGCATGAAGATTGGCTTACTGAAATGGCAATACGTCCGGCAGTACCAAAAGCAGCTTGGCCAATGTCAGGATATGTCTCAAGACCAGGCTCACTGTCCAAGCAAGAACGCAAGAGCAATCCGGTATAAAAGGAAAGAATACCGAAAATGAACAAGATGGAAAGTCCTACCCATCCACCTTCTTTAGCAGCATAAGGGGTTGAAAGGATTCCTACTCCACAAAGAACATTTATGCCTGCAAAATCCATAAATGCACATATTCTCAAATCAGCATATCTAAAATTGAACAAAATCGGTACTAAAAGAGCACGAGCTAGCCATGGTTCAATAAATTCGTTACCATTAAGCACAGCCTGTCCGAACGAGCAATGGCCAGAAGGAACTTCATGAGAAACCTTAGAGTCTTTCTTAAGCATAGAAGACCTTTTGGCAGAAGGTGGAAGCAAGGCATGAGAGCTACGTCTTTGTTGCGGCTCATCTTCTATCTGTTGCTGTATCAGAGGCTTTGTGACAGAAGGAAGTGCTTCCGGAGTGTGCCTCCTTGTTAGAGATGTAGAAAGGAAGGAACTGCTTAATCTTGAAAATGATGTAGTTCCCAGAAATCCAATATTGGGGGATGGTACACTACTGTATAGATCAATTGATTGCCTGCAATAACAATATCAAGAACACAACATGAGTATTCATTTTAAGCACTCGAAGTCCGTGAAAACGGCCGCGACAAAAAGTATCTAAAGGTGCCGATACTATACCATAATTCACCGTTTTTATATTAAAGAACAAATTATGGTTAATTTACACCGTGACGACTGCAATCAGTGTCACAATATCTGTATCGACCGAAATCGTGAAAGCCTCTACGCGACCGTGAGAGATATTTAAAACCTAGAGGAAATGAAACAAGGTATTATTAACCTGTAACTCTGAGGCCATGAAGGGTTATAAGAACTTGGTTTCCTTTGTGGTGGATTTTCATTTGAGTAATTAGAAGAATCAGAATCATTTCCATCGTTAAAATCCTTATCATCTTCTTCCTCACTTTCAATAATAAAACTGTTGTCTGAAACTACTGAGTTATTCATCATCTTCACCAACTATTCACACCTTCACACAAAAAAATCCAAAATTACAAAAAAAAAAAAAACACAAAATCTGGATCTGGATTAATTGGTTTATTCAAAATACAAACTGCATAGTTTGAATTTCAAAAGTTAACTCAGAAGCCAGAACAACCTATGACAGACTCTAATCACTTTTACTACTACTCATGCATTTGAACAAAAAACTTTTAAAGAAAAGAACAAAAAAACAAAGAACCAGAAATTTAATAACAAGAACGACAGTTATTGTTTTTTTTGTTTAGAAAAGAAAAGAAAGTGAAAACCTATGAAAAAGGAGAGACAGAAAAAAGAACAAGTAAAGTAGGTACACGTACTTTACTTTCTCTCTCTCTCACAAGACAAACATACTCTACTAAGACACTGATGTCTCTTATACAACTTCAAGTTTTTCTACTCTCTCTCTAATTTACTTTCTCTGTGAAGATTCATGAAAACATAACAGAAGGAACTGGTTTAGCAGTTAAATCATTACAATCATGATGTTCGTTGCAGGTGGCTAACTTAATCATAGCCGTACGTTTATATTGATGTAGATTATTAGATAGCCTTTGTTATTGCATATGCTGGCATGGACCCCCTATAGTTTTGTTTCTTCTCATTGGTGGAGATGAAAATTAAACTTATTTAAATTTCATAAGATTTGGATTTTGCTGTGTTTGTATTTTGTTGTCTGCCCCTCGCAACCGCATACGATATATCTGTATAATTATCAACTGAGTTGTTTTAACGAGACATTCATATTTTATTTTTGTGAAGATAAGGCTTACTTGAGATCGATATATCAGGATTCAATATTTTTTTTTTTGATTTTTTTTCAATGTTAAAAGAAAACATGAATGCATGATTACAATGTGAAATTATTATAAATAATTGTAAAACATGAATGCATGATTACAATATGAAATTATTATAAATAATTGTAAAGTGATTTACTATAATAAAGAGAATATCCTTGTGATCAATTATTTGCTGAAAAGGAGAAGCTGATTGAGTAGATTTATAGTGTAAAAGTTGAGAGCTTGTGCACAAAGTATTCTCCTTACTGTATTTAGTTACATAAAGGATAATTTAGGATATTCTCTTTTATATGCACATGGACAATTTATTTATAATTAATGGAGACACACACAAATTTAAAATAGTGAATTATTTTTTTTAATAAGAGTTGGTTAAAGAAAGTTGATGTAATTGGTGTAAAATATGGACTGAATACATTAACATATTTTTGTTTATTTTAAAAATGAAATCTGGGTAGCATTTATCATATCATTATTGTTCTTAAATAAAGACTCTTTTTAAAATAAAAATAAATATATACATAATCAACTTTCTAAGAGACTAAAAATATATGTTTTTTTATTTTGTAATTTGTGTATTCAATGTACTTAAAATATAAATAATCAATTTTTAAAAAAAAATCTTGTGTAAAATACTCTTATTAATAAAATCGTTAAAAAAGAGTTGAAATACATTAAATAATATTACTTTTAATTTTTTTTTTCTATATAAAAGATTGTTTTTAAAGATTTATTATGCAATAAATATTTGATACTTTGGTTATTTATTGAGTTTAAAAAATAAATTATGTCTTGTAAAATTGATAGAAAACAATAATATATCAATATTTTTAAATGAAAAATTATTTAAAACAAAATATATTCTAAAATAAATATTTATAATAAAATAAAGGGAGTTCTTTTTTCTAAAGTTTGTAAAGAATAATCTACAAATTATTTATATCAAAAATGATTTTTTAGAGAATCTAAAACAAATAGATCTACAATTTCAAGAGAGAATAAAATTATTAATAAATTTAATATTAATAGTAATTTGGATATAATTTATTGATTCAGAATTCAATATATTAATCAACAACTTAAATAAATTGTTAATATTTATAAATCAACAACTTAAAAAAAATATGAATCAAATTTAATAAAATTGAAAAAATTACTATATTTAACGTCTCATATATAAACAAGTAGCAATATTTTTTTTGTCTGATTCATTAAATAACTAGGTTAAATTACAATTTTAGTCCCCTTGTTTTGCCCAACTCACGAAATAAGTCATCTGTTTATTTTTAAACAGTTTTGGTCTCTTTTGTCCATTTATCACAAAAAACGCTAATGTGTCATTTTTTAAACATGTGACATTAACTTTGTTGCCGGGTCATTATTAAATAAAAAACAAATTTAAAAAGTTGTTAATTCATAAATGTTTATTTAACAAATGAAATTTGTATAATAATCACCGTGTTCATAAATATCATTGTATTCATAACTCTCTCTATCACCCTGTTTATCGCACAGTTCGTTGTTGTTTCACCATGTTCACCTTCTTCAAGTATCATTTCTTATTATTACCCTAATTTGTCTCTTGTGTGATGGGTTCTGAGTCTGTGAACATTACAAGTTCTTATTCTCATTATAGGAGGAGAAAGATCCAATGTTATTGTGGGCCAGATTCACCACTTGCAACTGTGTGGACATCTGAACAAAGTCTTCATCTTTCTCATTTTGCTCACTCTGAACTTCTTCTCTCTAATCAGGTTGGACTTCTTCCGTCTCCTCAACATGGTCTTCATCCTTATCCTCAAGATGGACTTCATCATCTGAGTCAACATTTATTGTTTCTTGTCGAGCTTCAACATACCCCCTCACTTCATCTTCTATTATAACATTAGGTTCATCTACTATATGCTTAGTGTAAATATCAACATAATCGTAATCTTTCATATCTTCCCCAAATTTCAAAACATCTTTATCACTGTTAATAGGCCTAAGTCCACGCTCAAGTGAAAACTTCAGATCGTGGTACCACATATACTTCCCAAAATTTATTAAATGGAATTTAACAAGATGGTTCTTGCTTTGTGATGATTTTTATAATCCTTTTTATGTTGATCCGTCATCACTCTTCTTTCGATCTTGTTTCCACTTGCATCTACTGGATGCACGTAGCCATCGACTACCAAATCCCATAGATCCACATCGTGACCAAGAAAGAAGATTTATATTCTGTCCTTCCAATAATCAAATTTATCTCCATCAAAAGTAGGAGATTTAGCATTGTAATGATCACTATCATTGGTTGGAGCAACTGGAGGTGGAATACCGGCCATTGTGTTTCAACTAGATATTTATCTGACATTGTTAAGTGTTTGATAGTTTTATTAAGACCATAAACGGAGCTCTGATGCCAATTGAAGGTTACGATAAACACAAAAAAGGAGGGTTTGAATTGTGTTTCTAAAAATCAATGTTTTTTCAAAATTAATCCCACAAACAAGAACAAGAATAATAAAAACAACAAGTTATTTTTATCCTGGTTCGTTGTTAACGAAGCTACCTGCAATCCCCACACCAAGGTGATTTCGCCTTCTCAAAAGGACTTAATCCACTATAATCTAACTAATTACAGACACCACAAAGACAATCTTCCTTGTCTTTAGAGTATACATATTAAACCCTAGTCACTCAAGGTAATCACTCAATCATATTTGAGATTTTATTGACTGTGCTTACAAAGATTGCTTTTATAAAGCATATTAACACAATGTTTAAGTCAATGAAATACTCACATAATATGAAAAAAGTTCTAAGTGTATTTATACAATATTCACAAAAATAATACTATCAGAGAAAATGTAGCAGCGTATGAATTCTCACCCAAAAGTATTTTTATCCATTCTTCCAAAGTATTCTTTATATAACCAAAAAGAAAGATCTGTTGGAGGGTAGAATGAGAAACTTCAGGTGTGAGCTGGCGTCTTGAATAATCGTCTTCAATAACAAAAGACAAAATCGTACAACACATATGTCCTTACTCCACGAAATCCGTGTTAGACGATGGCGAATTGTCTAGGGGGGGGGGGGGGGGGTTAATAGACACCCAAGCTAAAATTACCAAATAAAATTTGGGTTTTTAAAGTTGTTAGAAAAAGAGAGCATGCGGAAGGTTTTGATATGGACCGATAAAAGTCGTCTATGCGAACCTAGTTATTGGAAACTCGGATATGCAAAGCCAAGTATGTAATGACAAACACAATAATCGAATTCAACCTTTAATCGAGCATCACATTATTACTTGTTTAAACTAATTACTTAGTAATGTTATTTCCAATGATAATGAGCAAAAATATTAAACTATACAAATTATTAAACACTTGGTGGGAGAATGAATTTTCAGAATTTTCTTTGTGTTGTTATTGATATGAAAACCACTTATAATCAAAAGTGATTATAAGCTAATCAACAATCAAGTTAAAATAAAAAGATTACAGAAAAATTCTTATGAGTCGATTGATCGTTCAATGCTATTTCATAAATTGTGTAATGAAGAATAAAATTAGTAAAGAGATAAGAGAGAGATCGACACGAGGATTTGTTCATGAAGTTCTCCACTTTCGTCCTCGCGTGTGGGTACGTCTGCGCCTAATTTCCAAAGTGGAATTAGGATACTTTCTTACTATGTAAAAAGTCGATATACAAGAAAAGTGTTCAGAACAAACATACAAACACAGCCGATTATGATGTTGATTCAACCCTTTTCTTCTTTTGATCTTGAGTAAGACCAAGACAATAACGGATGCTAACTGACTTGCCGGTATTGCTACTCCTTTGCGTTCTTTATCACAAAAGTTTTCATGCACGATCAATTGCACCTATTATTCCACAAGACTTCAATTTAATTCGCCGCTCTCCACTATTTCCTTTGCGTTCTTTATCTCCAAAGGGACCTTTGCGTTCTTTATCTCCAAAGGCTTTCACAACGTCGCAATCCTTTCTTGAACGTCATGCACGAAAACCCCCAAATCTTCACTCGATCTTAGAGGACAAATCCGCAGGTTTTTCAGATGAACACCCATGCAAATCTCAATCCAATATCTTGGCTACACAAGAACCTAATTGGACCTTATCAGACCTTTATCTAGCTGGCACCCCAACAAAAGATTATTA